GAGAACAACGCGATGAGAGCGGTCGTAGGCGTTGGTTTGTGAAGATGGCCACTGTGAGCACCGCGGGGCTGCTGAGAGTGGCGGACTGCACGTTCATTGGCAAGACGGAATTTTTTGATCCCGCGCTGGTGTATTTATCGAACTCTCTCACTCTTCAGGGTGGAGCGCAGTGGCGTGTGGAGGGCAACAACGTGAGTTCTGCCTCAGTATTAAGTATGCCACGTTCTCAGCAGAAAATTAAGCTGTCGGGCAGCGGCACCACTGTGGTGCTTGCACACAACCGTCAGGTGGAAGGAAGTGCAGTCTTTGCCAAACTTCTTCCACCGAACACGATTGTGGAGTCACCCGCGCGATTTGTGGTGGGGTGCAACCTGCACGAGGAGGGGAAGGAGGTGTCGTACGACGATGTGTTTCCGGAGGGCGTGGTGGTGTTCGGGTGCGGCACATGCAACGACGATGCGGCGTGCTACATGCCTGGGACGGAGTCGGTGGACCGCGGCTCGTGCTCGTGCAGCTGCAGGGACGGATGGCATGGCGCGTCGTGTCTTCCCCTCGAGGTGCTCGTCACTGTTGTGCCGCCCTTGCCGGAGAGAGCCGTTGACGGCGACACGAGCTGCGTGGTGAACCAGACGCTGACGAACCTCACGCTGAACATGTGGAAGACGCACCACTGCTACGTCGGTGTGACATTCAACGGCGTGGGTGCTGCGCTGAAGTTTTTTTTCAACGGTATGCCGCTGCATTTCCCCATCAATATCACGCTCACTGGGTGCACATTCCGTGGCGGTGCCGCGCTGCAGTTTGTTGGGGGTGCTGAGGCGGCCGAGTCAGCCGGCGTCCTGATCCGCGTGAGCCAGACGGTGATGCGGTCCTCCGCCGTTGCTTTTGCACTCGCCCTCCCGCAGCACTGCGACATCGCCGTCACGGAGGTTGATGCGTTGCACTCCTCCGCGGTCCATTTGCCGGACACAGTGAACAACAAGCTGAGCGTTGTGCTGCTGCAGAATGTTGTGTTGGCTGCGTCCTCGCTGTTGGTCAGCAACGTCAATGCGCATTCCTTGAGGTACGGTGGGTTTGGTTTGTACTCGGTCGGGACGCTGACGCTGGTGGAGGGCAGCTCGCTGTACACGCGTTACTGCAGCTTTGATGGGTACAAACACCTGTTCTACGTGTACAGGCTCAGTGTCCGCAATCACTCTGTTTTTGCGCTGCTCAACAACACGATGTCCACCGGGGCAAGCCTTCTTTTTCAGTACCAAGAATTCAGCGTGTCGGATCACAGCGTGTTGCGCGTGGTGGGGAACAGCGTTTTTTCATTCTATGCTATTTACGCGAACAAGTTGTGGATTGTTGAGCAGTCAAGCTGGTTGGATTGGCGCGACAACGACGTGGGATTGGGTGCGATTTTCAATGATTTTGATTCCACCTTTGTGAGCATTGACAGCAGCAGTGGCGTGACGCTGACGGGCTGCAAGATGGGCTCGACGGGGTTGTCGGAGTCTCTGCTGTCGCAGGCTGACGCTGGCTACCGGTTTGTTGCTGGGTGCCTGACGTTTGCGGGACGTTTGCTGACGACGGCGGCAGAGCTGGAACTGAGCGGCATCACCAACGTGACGACGGTTGCTGCGTGCGGGGAGTGCACGAAGGACGGCGAATGCTTTGCTTTGCTGACGACGGCGGTCATTGACTGCGAGTGCCAGTGCGCTGCTGGAGGGCACGGCGATGTGTGTGTCCCGGCGCCTGTGCCTGCTGGCCCGCCGCCACCGCCCACGCCGCCAGTGCCGCCCACGCCGCCACCGCCGCCGGTTGGTGAGTGCATCAGCGACATGGTGTACCCCGAGGTTGCGCAGTCAGTGGGCGGCGGGCTGTCGTGGCTGTGCTACCGCAACGTGACGTTCAGCGGGGGCGGCATGAGCCTGACGGTGCTGGTTGGGGCGATGACGGGCGACGTGGCGAATGTCACGTTCGATGGATGCACGTGGAGGGACGGTGCCGTGCTGGCGCTGTTGGGCAACGCAGACGCTGCCGTGGGGTCGCTGAACATTGTCGTCACCGGCAACACGTTTCGTGACGC